CACCACTCATTACCACTAAGCCGCCAGAGCTCCTCTGAGGTGTTTGGTTAAGTGAAAGACTTAAAGTTTAAAAAGGAGACCATGGAAATACTGGGAATAGAATTCACTCCCTCAGTCCATCTAGATAAGTGGGAAATTGTTGACCACTGGAACATTCTAGTGAATAGAGCTCTGATGGACTACTGGTTAGGGAGTTGTGCTGTCAACCCAAAGACAGGCAGCTCGAATCTACCCTACTCTGTGGGAGAAAGATGGGCAATCACCTCCCATAAAATATAAAGCCTATGGGTCAGTTCTAATAGGACAACAACTTATTGCCTTTCATTTCTGAAACAATAAAGCCAGAAGCTTCGCTCTAAGGTTGTTTTGCTCTTTGGTATTCTCAACTCCTTTCACAAACTAAAATCCACTGTCATCAAGTTGATTTTGGCTCAGGATGACCCTCCACTGGGGTTCCAAGAAAGCAAATCTTTACAGGAGAGACTGTCTGTTTTTCCCTCAAACCTTTGGTTAGCACTCCAAGGTGTCATGAACCACAGCATCAGTGCCCCTTTCTCCTGTACAAGTATCACAGGCTACATACACTAGCACCTCTTTATTAGTGAAGGGAACATTTTCTTAGGTCATCACTCTTTCTATTGTGGGGAGAGACGTGACACTTTCTCACACAAAATGTTGGCTGTTTTCACATGCAATGTTTTTACATCCTTGGACCTTCTTAGATTAACACAGAAGTGTACCATCATCACATAATTAGAGCACATTGCCCGTTAGATATTTTAACAGCTATTGCCTTCTGAAACATGCCCTCTTTTCTTTTCCCCCCACTCATTGCCGTGGATCTGGAACCAACTTTTAGATGACTCTGTTGGGTTTCTGAGGCTGTAAATTGTTGGGGAGGTGATCACTCATCTTTCTCCTGAAGAGCTGCTAGTGGAGTCAAAGCTCCAGAGAGGCTCAGCCTTTGTGTTAGCAACACAACTCCCTATGTTGTTGTTAAGTGCCACCATTTTGTTAAGTATGAGGATGGCTCATAATGACCCTATGAACAACAGATCTTAACTCTCTTCCATCCCATGCCATCCTCTTCCTCACACACTCACATTCACTGCTGCAGTCACTGTGTTGATCCATTTCACTGAAGAGCTTCTTCTTAAGCTTTCAGTTTGAGCCCTTAAGGAAAGATGGACAGCATGTGACATGAGGCTAGAGAGCACATAACCATCAGAAAGACTTCATTTCTGCTGTGGTCTCCTTCATCCAGACTCAGATACCATCCTCTGCCTCAATTTGGTACTCTCATGACTTTTTTTAAAGTTCCCCCCCTTAAACAAGAAAAAGGAATAAAGACTTTATATTGCCAGCAAATATTTTAATAATTTTAAAATGTTGTTGCTGTTGTATCATCAGTGCAAGACTAACAATAAAAGTACAGTACAAGGAAATTCACAATATGTTACGGTGACACACACGAGGATTCACAGAGGCGACGGGTGAGAAACGGCAGCAGTAGGTACATGCACCAGTGCTGGGAACCAGGACATGCAAGGTGAGGACACGAGGGCCGCGTGCACACTGGCTCTCTGCTTCCCTCCCAAGATGTATTTCTTCAACACACTGACTGGGACCCTCTGTTACAGAAACTGGTCTTGTCTATTGTCTTCATGGCTTTTTTCCACTACAAAGTTCACAGATAGTGATAGTCGGAAGAATTTAAAAAATTCTCAGGGAAAAAAAAAATGAACACTGACGAAATAAAAGGAATTTAAAGTACTCTAATACAACATGGAGGTGAACCAAAACAAAATGAACTGTACAAACTGAACAGAAAGGCAGTCATTACTGACAGGGCATCCAGAATCTCTTAAAAGTACACTTTAAAAAACTTTTGTTTTTAAATTTATATCTTATTTACTTTTTTATTTTATTGTATGTAAAAAAAGATGGAGGCAAAAATAGTTTTCTGAGCTATGAAAAAAATTAAGTTATTACAGGCACATATACTGTTTCATTCTAGAAACACCTCTATTTCACAGGTTGAACATTCAGCAGCTGTGTGGTGTTTTTTGTTTTTGTTTTTAAAAAACACCATTCTTTGACCTTGGGGAAACAAGCTCTCTCCTTTCGGGCAGCAGTTGGTGCATGAAGATAGGGTGGTTACACAAATTACAGTGAATTATTCTGTGATAATTCATGCACACTTGCATCATGGGTACAGCTTCTCCACTGGTGGATCCGGGTCACCTTGGTCCTCCATGGGCAGCAGGTCTCCGCGGGCCTGAGGCTGTGAGGCAGTGGGGGAGTGTGGTGCCCAGCGTGACGGTGGGCGACGGTTTGCTGGTCTCTCGGGCCTGGAGAAGCAGGGCTCTAGGGGAGGGGCGAGTGCTGAACATGGCAGTTCCTTCAGAGCAAGGAGAGGGGAAAAACATTACTCAGACCAGTTCTCCAAATGTTTCATAACAAGTTACATACAATATTGACTATTATTTTTCTGCTCATGGAGTAGAAATTGAATGTCAAGTTAACACAGATGATCAATGACTATTATGATTGGATGATAGCAAATTATGATAAAATCTGGCAAGACTGTGATATGGGTGTTTCCATGCACACATGTTGGGGGAACGCCACCTGTGGCTGTGCACTCCACAGACCACTTGGTCTCATCCCAATCCAGTCACTTGAGTCGTCTCACTTCTGTGGAACGGTCAAGCAGGTGACTGAGACACAAGACTCAGAGGCCAGGCTTCTGAGGATCTGTGATTCCACTCAGCTATCTTAGAAGTAGACTCTGTCTCAAGGGATCCACTAATGATTTCCCCACTCTAACTGGTTCCCAGTCAGTTAAACAAATGCCCACAATGTGGCAGAAATGCTGCAGGCAGGAATTTGAATCTGGGCCTAGTGTTCTTGAGTGTCTTATCCACTGTGGCAGCGTGTTAAAAAGCGCAGTAGGGGCGCACTGTGATTTCTGTGATATGGCTTCCCAGACATTCCAAAACCCAGTACATGCCACAGACACGCCACCAGCACATTTCATTTATGATGCTTATTTTCTAACTGTGGCTGCTCAAGAACGGGTCTGTATGTTAGGAAACACGGACAGTCAGATGTGGAACTTGCTGGCCCACAGAAACATGAAGAGCTGTGATATGAGGAGAACAATGAGTTATGCACAGGACACCCATCTGCCCAAATGATGCCCAAGTAACTGGAGACAGAGATGGAAAGTCACTGCAATGGGAAACAGCAGAAGAGCAGGGAAGTTCAAGCAAGTCACTCTCTCCAACCCCTGCCCAAAGTTAGTGAACTCTGCGGTGGAGAACTCGAAGACATGACATGCAATGGAAAAGATTAGAATGAGAAAAGATCAGCTGGAACAGAGAAGCATACGGCATGACGAGAGACAGCAGCAAAGCTGAGTGGCAATGTTACAATGTGGGAGGAGGCAGGCAGGCCACCTGTGGTCACAGGAAGACCTGAGGGACCCAAAGGATTCTGGGAGAGCTGGTTCCCCAGCATCCTTGGTGTTCAAGAAAGGAGCCACATCCACACTGTATTCTACTCCCTGTGGTTCCCCACTACTTTTGTGGTTGATATTTTATATTCTTAGGGGGACAAGCCTTAGTTATTAGCAAAACACGGACACTAATGGTACCCAAGTAGTACTCTCAAGGCAAAACCAAGTCAAAGTCAGTGTCAATGCTGAGCTATAAACTACCTGTTGCAGACACAGTGCTTGAGAAAGTTTCAGACCCTCTGCTGGACACTATGTACTGTGAGGCCTGTAAAAGGGGAGAGTGAGGAAGCTCGCGGGCTGCTGCTCTGGGTCTTCAGTTGGCAATGTCACAGGCCCTGTGCACCATGCTGACAGCAAACAAGAGCAGGCATTCTGATACATGCCCTTCTGCTTTCACAGAAGAAAAACCAATGTGTGACCATAATCCCAGAGACAGGATTCTTTAGTTCCATACCCACATACAAATGCAAGCAGCAAGCGCTGTGCTCTCCCAAAAGGACACAGCGGTGGGCCACGCATGCCTGCTGTTCTGCGCTCCTTCCAGTTCAGTTTCCTCACAGCACCTTTTCCCCCATGTGGTCTTCCACATAACTTTTTCCTCAGGCACATCTTTTGCCTCTGGAAGCAGACTGTGTATTTTTATACTTAAGACAACCAAGTGGGGGCTACAGAAAAGTATGCTTTTTTCCATGTGCTCTGAAAGTAATTCGAAGAAGAGTTCCCAAAGTATTTGGGCAAAGGTGGGTTTATTAATTCATTCAACAAACATTTATTGAGCAGTGATTATATGTCACTGAAGTGACCACATGGGAGGGTAAGATGTGAATTTATTTCTCCTGAAATGACTGTTGGGGGTTAAAGCAGCATCCTCAGTCTCCCCTCAGTGCAGCATAAGGAAATATGTGTGGCAGGAGGGTGGGCACAAGAGGGCTAGCCAGGATGGGTCCTGGCAGAAGCCTGACCGCCCACACCAGAACTCTTGTGCTACAGACACGGCTTATTGCAGCCCAGCCCACATCTCCTCATCCCTTCAAAACCACAGGAGAAGGGACAATCTCTGTGGACTCTATAGCTCAGACTTTCTAGTCCCCATCAGTAACCCACTCAGAACCCAGAGGTGGGGGGAGGGGGTGAATGATGGGGTAGGGGTGCAGATGGGAGATGAGGAATCAAGGTAGGAGTTGGGGAGAGATGGGGTGGGTGATGTGGGAGGCAGGGGTGGGAGATGGGGAGGGATGGGGTGAATGATGGGAAGGGGCAGGGGTGGAGAGGCGGAGTGGTAGATGATGGGGGAGAGGAGGGTGATGGGGGAGAGGTGGGGGTGGGTGATGGGGGGAGGAAGCCTTCCATATGAGCCCTGATCTACCTCAGATGATTCTGCCTTATTTAGAAACATCAGACAATACCACAGTGACATAAAATGGCCTCTCCAGACAGTTTGGAAACAAGCAAGAAAGCACTTACAGCAGAGGCAGGCAGGCTAGAGTCCCCAGGGGGCAGTTAGTAAGACAGTTTGGTTCTGGACAGAATAGACAGGGAGAGAAAGAAAACCAAGTAGGTTGGACAGTACTTTTTAAAAAGGAGAATAGAGTAACTATTTCAAAGTCAGTAAGTAGGAGGAGGACTCCCCTCAGGAAAATTATGAGGCCCCCAGGACTAGGCACATTAATTCCAACAGCACATTCACTCTGTGGAGAGTCCAGTGTGGCTTTGAAAGCTAATTAACCATCTGAAGCACAACATGCATAGTGTGAAATTCTTTCCCACCTTCCATTCTTCTATCTGCTCTTCAGTTGTCTATTAGCATTTAATATTTCAAACATCATCTGGAGAATGAAGAGCTGGAAACTGTGTGACTAACTGTTGTATCTGAAAGAGGCCATAATATGGCCTGGTCTGCTCCCTCACAATGGCTGAGCTGTCATTGCTCACACTATTCCAGCCCCACGCTGAAGGGAAGACATTTCTATTTCAGGTTAAGCTTTCACTTTCTGCCAGGAGCTGTCTCTGCATTGCAGAACAAGGCTCTATCTTCAAGAGGAAAGGAGGAATTGTAGAAATAATTGCAGGGGAAGTGAGAAGGTGGAGTTTTTCCTCTTTCCCACTGTTCATAATTCCAATGCAGGGTGCCTGGGTCACCCTAGAATTTCTATGCAGGAGATGACTCTCAGAGGAACATTAGGGAGCTCAATGACAGTTCTGGTCATTCTGGAATTAAAACTCATGCTATATAGTTCATAATTTGAGACGGTGGTAAGAGGTATCCAGTGGGTCTAATATTAGGAGTAAGTTCAAACCAGTAGTAGTTCCACCATGACATCTAGAACAAGTGGATCCTCACAACAGGTGTTTGCGTCCTTCCCTGGGGCAGCTGAACTTTGCTGGTGAGTCCCTGAGATGGGCCAATGCTCCTACCAGTCATCACTTCATGGAACAAGAAGCATAGTGAGAAAATCTAACCACATTCTTCAGAGAGGACTGAGGGGGACTGCACTGACTGGAGTATCTCATGACCTAGAGTTGTGATTTTGTTACTCAACTACCTGCTTTATACTGTCAGGGACTGCTAGGAACACTTACTGTACTAATTAAAGCAATTCCTATATAGTTCTAATATAAATGGACATTGAAGCCATAGTCAAGTGAATGCTTTTGGATAAAGCCACAATCCAGTACGGAGACCATCCACAGCAGTAGGACACTTAACCTGTGGGCCTCGATGAATGAGATACTAAAGCTTGCCGAGGGCACAAACCGTTACTTGAGAACAAGCAAGCATCAATGTCTATTCTTCTTGAAGCATGTGAACAACTTTATCACAAAGCACCATAGCTTAGGGCTACAGAGGCCACGCCTAGCAGTCTTTCACTGGCTATGTCTGTGGAGTCAGACATAGCAGCTGGGAGTACTTAGGAGCTTAGACAGTGAAAGGAGTAAACTGCAGGTGTAAGAAAAGCTGGTAGCCTTGCCTTCTGACTTGGGGATAAGGGTGGGTTAAATAATAATGGGAGAAGGTAGGCCTCTGGCTTTCTTTTTTTTTTCCCTCTGGCTTTCTAAGAGCCTTCAAAGTAGGTCTGAGAGGTAATTTTAGAATCTTAGTTGGACGCTCTTTGTTTCCTAGAATGTTGGAATAAAAATTCCTTGAGAAATCGTAAACTGTTCTGAAGACTTTTGGTAATGGGAAAGATTGGCAAGCTCCACAGCGAAGTGCATGAGTCACATATGGGGAGCCTTGGGCATTTCACAGCAATTGAAAAGACCAGAACTGTGATAAAAGGATACCATAAAGGTTACCATAAAGTTTCAAAATGCACAGGAAGCCAGGTATAAATTTTAATAGTAATAATAACAAGAACAACAACAATAATAATAATAATACTTAAAGTCATTGCCATGGAGCCAATTTCAATTCAGAGACACCTCCTTCCCCAACAAAATCAGATTTTTGAAGCTGTAAATTCTAGGTGAAGGACACTGTTTAGCTTTCTCCCAAGGAGCAGCTGGTGGATTTGAACTGCCAGAAGTACACAGCCTTTGTTGGCAGCACAACATGCCATGAATTATACCATATGCTTTTAAGTGCCTTTGGGTTTATTTCAGTCATACTTTAACTTTCTAAATACAGTAATTAAAAAAAATTCATAATTTGCATACCCATATAGTAAAAATAGCTTTGCCAATAAAATAATTATTCATTATATAATTGGAAATTCTTATTTATAACTACAGTAGGAAGTTTAGAAATTTTTAAATATGTTTATGCATTGTGAACTATTTAAACATGTATGTGCTTCAGATTTTTAATTAAGGGACAGGGATATAATTTACAAAACATAATCTAGAGAATACCATTATTGTGTATTGGTCCACTGTAAATCATTATTCACTCTAGACAACTGGATAACCATTGGGATAATTTCTTAATGAATGTATATGCTAGATGATTACAGAAAAATTTAATTTGTTGTCTTTTTGATTATTTATGTTATCCTCATTTTCTTCATATGGATTTAGATGGCACCCTGTCGCATAACGTCATTGTACCTGAATGCTCTATTTACTTAAGAAATGAAAAAGGATTGATTTAATGACTCTGTACATCTTATTTTGATTGCTTATGGAACATTCTTTGGCTCTATACTATAACCATGCTATTTTGATAAAAAACTTTGGGAGTAATTTGAAACATTCTTAAATAAATGTAATGAATAAGTAGAATAGAAATACAAATCAACTTGAGTATAATTAGACACAGGAGCAAGATAAACATGATCAATTAGGGTGGCTCTTAGAGGAGATGGAGGAAGAACGTACAGCAGACTAAGGATGACAGAAGGACCACTGAAGCTTTTGAGGTGTGGTGAAGAGTATGGAATATCCCGTGGACTGCCAAGAGAACAAACAAGTCTGTCTTGGAGAAAGTGTAACCACATTGCTTCTTGGAGGTAGGGATGAGGAGGATTCCTCCCACATACTTTCGACATGCTGTTAGGAAGGTCCCGTCACTGGATAAAAACCATCATGCTGGAAAAGGTGGAGAGTTGATGTAGGAGAGGAAGACTTTCAACAAGATGAACTGGACATGGTTACTAACCAGGCTCAAGGATATCAGAGATGCTGAGGATGGCATAGGATAGGGCAAGGTTAAGATCTATTGTTCACAAAACTGCTAGGAGTTACAATTAATTTGACAGTACCTAATAGCAATAATGAGGTTACGTGGCAACCACATTCCAGATTAGGAGAGGGATGTGATCTGAATGATGCTTGAGGAAGGTTCTTGTTTCTGTGTGTAGAACCATTTGAAAGGTTGGGAAAGCTAGAAAAAACTCAGGGAAAATTAATACATACATCCAGAATAAAATTAAAAATCAAGGTCTAGATAAGAAAAGACAGTTCTGTTGTTATCACACTTGGAAAACGCTGAATGCAGAAAGCATGTTTTGGTGAGAAGTAGAGTTAGATTTCAAAGTTTCAAGTCTTACTTATTTTCAAGTACGTATTAGGAGCAGGCAGCAATCAAAGTGATAATGAACTGTTAAGTATCACATCCCTAGATATGCTGAGGTCCCTATAGGGTCTCTCAGCCTGAGATTAGGGATGCTGCCCTGGAAACATCTGTGCATGCAGGCACCCACCCATGGTCAAAAGCTGGGCTGCAGAGTGGCTTCACAGAGGAGGGCTCACAAACACAAAAAAGAGGTGACTATGCTGATGGAAGGCTGTGAAGGAAAAAAAAGTATTTCTCTTCAAGGAAAGAGTGTATATGCTAGATACTTAAGAATTTTAAATTGAGCAAGTCAGGCATTTTAGCAAGTTTTACATTACATTTTTATGACTTGAAAATGCATTGAAGATTTATAAACAATGGGTGATATTTTCCAAAGGCCTGTAGAATTACATGGAGATACTGAATAGATTCTTTGAGACTTACTTCTAGTTTTGATCTTGTTTAGACTCAGTGGATGATGAGAATTTGGGGAGCAGGTCTTAAAGCTTACTGTGGGTTATATCAGTGGGAAAGGATATCGCTGACACTAGTGCTGGGAAAAACACTGAGAATAGCTGGCTATGTCAGGAGTGATTAAAATGCAATTGGCATGACAAGGTAGTTTTTAATAATGTGGGTACAAGAAGGCTGATCATATAGAAATATGAGTTGAATCAGTATATGAAATTGAGCCAATAAAGAGCAAATATATTAAATATGAACTGACTCACTATAGTTTTGAAAAAAAGAAGTACAAAAAGCTGAAATGAAAATAAAGGTAAGCCCCACATTATCCAATTAATCTCTGAACTGCAGGCAGGATATGTGTCATGCAGCTCTCCCTCAGATGATGTTTTGAAAACCACCATTGTATTTCCTATTGAAATTTAGGGTCTTTGCTCCAGCAAAGGCTCTGAAAATGAAGTGCTGAGAGAGCAATCAAACAATTCTTTATGATTCACTTTAATTTAGTGAATATCCATTAAGGCACCAGGGAAATAAAAAGATGTAGTCCCTGTTGGGAATATTATTCAGTCCAGTAGAAGTAAAAGTGATAAATCTTGTATGAGTCACAGATACAGTATTAAAGAACAGGTGGGAGCTTTCAGATATGAGGAAGGACAAAGTTTGATCTGACCTCAGCATTTGAACCTTAATCAAAAGCACCAAGTTAAGAAAGGACATGCTTAAAAAAAAAAGGACATGCTTTCTTTGAAGATAGCCTTATATTGATGAAACAGAAAAGTTGGAGGGAAGTAAGAGGAGGTAGAGTTGGCATTTCACAGAACTGTTAAAGTATAAGCTAAGAAACCTGGAGAACCATTGAAAGTGTTTTGAAAATGAAGCAAAAATAATCACAGTAATCTTTTCATGAGATGACTTGAGCAACTGTATGTTGGATTATAGTGTGAAGATAGAGATGGGGGGGGGAAGAGGAAAAAGAATCTGGAGGTTACTGCAGAACTCCAAGCAAAAGGCAAGCAGGACACGAATCAAGAGAATGAGAACAAAGATGGTGAGGAGGAGGAGGATGACAGGAAGGGTTTTGCCACATTTATGTAGGGCAAGGAACACAATAAGGGAGGGTGTGAGGCCCACGCCTGGGAAGACAGCTGGTGAGCAGGGCTGGGGAATGCTTATTAAGGTTATAAACTATTAGGATTCCATTTTTAAAAGCCAGCATGGAAAGTGTGGAGTGGAAACACTGGTTTTGATTCTGTTTGAACTGGATAAATGATAGGAATTTTTGAAGAAGGATAAGCAGCAGCTCTTGACCAAGACCTGATAGTTTGCCAAAAGAACAGACAAGTCAGCCCTGTCAATATGGCTAACTAGCAGCAACAGACCCAAATGTGCCAAAGCATGTGAAAATGTGACCTGAAAAGCCCAGCGGCTGTGGTTAAAACAGGAGGATCCCAAATGGGCTGCAGCAAAGTCCTTTGGCTCCATGGCTCATGTTGGAGACTGTGGAACAATTCTAAGAAATAGGGTTTTCTAATGGAGAAAGCTTTAGAAGCTGACAGACAAGGTCAGGCAACCAATGACATGTGACAACTTGACCTGTTGGTTAATTTCTCCATTGTGATGCTATAACAAACATTGCAATTGATGCAGAACTCCAGATCAGTTACAGGGATGCCATAGAGAACTGATACACATTCTCATAGAATATTATTTGTGGCATCTGTCACAAATACTATGGATCAAGCTAAACTATATGAATTTGAGACTTCTCTAAGTCATTGACAATTTCTTAGATTCAGATTGCTTCCCTTGGGTTAACTATTCCTTGGTGGGTTGGGGAACAAATGATTTGTCCCCTATGGGGAAATATGGAGTAGGAAGCAAATCAGTTGACAGCCCCTCCTCTCCCCCCCCACCCCCGCCATAGCTGCTAGAGCTTGTTTATCCTCCTCCTCTCCAGGCCTTCCTCTCCACAACTGTCTAGCCAGTGTGGGGGTCACTGGCATAATTTTCCAGGGCCTCACCCTTGACTTAGTGTGATGTCTACTCATCCTGGCTGTTAGTGAGTTAAGAGTTCATAGCCAAGACCACACACAGGATCAGTTACTGAACATCAACAGGACCCATGTCCCTCCAGCACCGTGTGAATGTGAGGTCAGCATCCCCCCTGACTTTCAAGTCCAGAATTTGCATGGGAATTTTATTTTTTAAGTAGACTCCTGGTGTAAATATTCATGTAGATCTGCATCAAAACAGAAATCAAAATTGACTGATTCATAATAATGCTAATCCACCACTGTCATCATGTCGATTACAACTCAGAGCAACCATACAGGACAGAGCAGAAATGGCCCACAGGGTTCCTGAGACTGTGGCCTTTGCAGAAGTGCACACTGCCCCATCTTCTTCCATTGAGGTGGATGGTGGATTTGAGCTGCTGACCTTAAGACTAGCATACCAGGATTTAACCCACTTAAAGCAGAACTTCTTTTTTTTTTTTTTTTAAAGCAGAACTTCTGATGTCATCTGTTCCATCTGCTTTTAATGCTAGGTGGTTTAGAAGCACAAAGCTATGTGATCAGTGACACATTAGAATGCCATTCTGAACCAGATCCAGCTCTGTTATCCACCTGTTCTGAGACGTGCTAACTTCCAGAGGCTGCCAAACCTTCTCTAATTCAACTCATATTCTGTCACCTGTCAAGGCCTGCAGTATCCAGGAAACCAGACAAGATTCTGGCATAGCTCTCTCTCACCACCCTACCCTGGACACAGATTCATACAGAAACGGGGTAGGTTAGAACAAAACGCCCAAATAAAACAGGCAAATGGATCTACTGTGACTGTCTGAGGATAAGAAAACATATTCCTTGAAAAGGAGAGCAAGCTTGTTTGTCTACTTGTTCTATTCTCCCATAAACTCAACCCCTCACAGTGTACAATCTGCTTCGTAAATAAAACCATATTCCTGAAAGCAAATGAACTCATAAACTCTGGGTTCAAACATATGCGATGTAGGTGAGCTGAGGGTATGAACGCTTGGCACTCATTACCTCAATGGGCCCTGGCTCAGCTCTGCCCATCTCCCCTGTGTGGCCATCACCACTGAGACTCGGGGGGCTCTGGGGGACGTGTTTCCTCTCCTCCTTTAAGGCGTGCTCCAACAACTTCTTATTGAGGATGCGGGCAGTGTTCTCTGTGAGCGTGTGGCCAGGGGGAGCGGAGAGGTCCTGCCTCACTGGTGTACCCTCTCCCCCATCATCCCTGAATGTCTCCATTCCAACTCCAAGGGGGCTGGGGGACCGTCCCCTGGAACTGGTGCCTGTTTCCTGGCTCAGGCCCAGCTCTGGCCGGGTGTCCAGTGAACGGGACTGGTTTCCGACCCGTGGACCCCTTAGAAAGGGGTCTTGTCCCAAAGGGCTATGGTCAATGATGTTGAAGAGGCTCGAGAGGCCATCGTTGATGGTGGTGTGCACTGGGCTCTCCCTTGTGGTGGTGGAGCGTGCCCAGGCAGACTCGCTGCAGCCCTTCTGGAGTAGCCCTGCTGAGATCCTGGTATTTGGCTGGTCGGCTTTGGGGAGGGGTTTCCTCTGAAGTTTTGGGGAGCCATACTTGGGAGAGCAGCAAGTGCGTTCAAATTTGGCCTGCACCTTCTCAATGGCCGGGGCCACCTGCCTGCTCCTCAGACTGCGGGAAGGTGAGGACACTGGAGTGGTGCCACCCCCCGCCTTAGGGGTGAGACACTTGTGGGGACTGCTGGTGACACCCCCACGCAGGGCTTCAGTCTGCAGGCCAACACTGAGGGTCTGAATGGTCTGCGTCCCAGTAGACCGGGACCCATTGGTCTGGCAGGCCATGTCCTTGACCTGAGGGCAGATGCCACTTCGGACAGAGAAGGCCACTTCCTTCATGTCATCGCTCATGTTCTTAGACATCTCCAGGCTGTGCAGCGGGGTGTTAAAGCTCAGGGAAGTGCAGAGCGGGCCCTCAAGGGAGCAAAGCCGGCCCTCCACATAGTCCTGGGGGTGTCTGGGGAGGTCACAAGGCCACCGGCCAAATGCATGTTCTGCTGGGCTTCCCCTGGCTCTGCCTGTGGGGAAGGGGAACTCGGGCTCCCCTGAACTGCACTCCTCACTGCCTGAGGCTGCAGGTCCATCAAACCTATGCATGGCTGGGGGGCTGTGCAGCACACGCACGCCTGACCTCTCTGCCACCACATGGCTGTGTCCCAGCTGCTTCTGGCAGTGCTCAGGGTGGGTCAGGGTGTCTGTTGTCATGGTAACACTTGTAGTGAGGTACCAGGATGAATTTGGGAATGAATCTGATCCGGTGTCAGCCCCAACGTGTCCGATCTCGGTCCTGTCTATCCAGGGCTCTGGGTGCCTCACTTGCCCCCCACTACTATGGTCCCTGGGGGGGCTGTAGTCCCAGGTTTTGCTGTTGAACTCCTCAATGTACTTGAGGTCATCAGGAGACAGGGGAGGGGTGATATCCTCTTTGCTGTCCATCGAAGGAAGACTCTGGTCAGGCAGGAATGGAGAGATGTCCATCAGGCGCTGGAACTCTGACATGGAGGTCACGGACACTGCCCTGGGGAAAGGGGAGAGAATGTGAGCCTGCTGGATTCCTGTTGCTCATGTCCCATGCCCATCTGGAGCCCAAACCACTGTGGACACTACATGGGCCATGAGCCCTGCAGACGAGGGAGTCCCTTATCCACACCGCCTGCTGAAATCTGAGAACATTCTCTACTCATGGACTGACCTACAGAAACAGTACGGATTTCTTGTGACCCTCGAACTGTTCTCACAGTTTTGAATTGGTAAGAATTCAATATATTCGACTCAAACACTAAGGAAACAAGCCAAGAGGTGGGGCTGAGCAGTCAGTCCAACCCCACCTCACCCTGGGAAGATGCTCATGTTTAGCTCAAGCTTAGTGTTTCTGGGAAGAGAAGACGTCGGGGTTCCAGATCTGGTTTGGGGTCCCTGCCAAGTGATGACAGGGCCACTGGCACTGGAACTGTGAACCTGCTGTTTCCATGGATGAGGTCAGTGCTCGCAATCCTGACAGACATTTCAACACTGAGAAATACAGACTAAAGCCTCTTTATCCTCTGGTCTCATCTTCTGTTTGTTTAAATACTAAGAGTCTTTAAAAATAAAATGATAGATGGGGAAGATAGGAGGAAAGTGGAAATTCGATCAGATTGCAAATAATTTCTAATCTTACTGAGCAAAAACAACAAAAAAGCTATCTTGCCCTTTCCCAATTTACCAAAGGGCTCAGCTTGTCTCCCTCTGCTACCTTCCTTAGAGTCAAGTCTTTTTGTTCTTTCTTCTCCTTTATTCCTGGACGAGAGAAAAATTCCCTCAGAGGCAGAAACACTATGGAAGATGAAAAGTACAGCCAGTTTTGGTAAGCTGTTTTCAGTTCTCTGTGGACGTCTATTTCTCACCATAGTAGCACTTTAATCCAATGAATTTCACTTTGACAAGTTTCCTGACTGTCTTCTCTGTACCCAGGAAGCAGTGAGATGAGGAGTTGTTGGGGGCTTCAAGTCACTTGTTAATCCACCCAAGACAAAGCTAACAACACAGGTTTACTTGAAAAATATGAAGGTGCTTATAGATGACAGACAACACACACTTTCTGTCAGGAGCAAGTGAGAAATGGGCTAATGAAGGACACGTTGGCTTTTTCACTTTGGACATTCTGACCCTGTTTGAAATTTAGCTGCTGTGTTGTAGTTAGGTGTCACTGAGTCAACTCATTATGGCCCTATGAAAAGCAAATCTTGCCCTATTTTGTGCCATCCTTACCATCTCTGATATGCTCTAGCTCACTGTTATTATCATTATGTTAATCCATCTTTTTTGGGGTGTATGTCTTCCTTTCTTTTTTTGACTCTCCACCTTTCCAAGCATGATGTCTGGCCTCTCTTAAAAACATACCTCAAGTATGTGAGATGAAGTTTCACCACCCTTAACTCTAAGGAGCACCCTGGCTGCACTTCCTCCAAGGTGGCCAAGCTTGTTCTTTTGGCAGTCCATGGCATATGTTTTTCCAACACTACAATTCAAAGGCATGGGTGAGTTTGCTTGTTTGTTTGGGTTTGTGTGTTTTTTGTTGTTGTTGTTTTTTTAATGTCCTCCCTATTCACTGCTGAACTTTTATATGCATAAGAAGCAAGTGAATGACCATGGCTTGGATCAAGTGAATGTTAGTCTTTAAATTGACATCCTTGCTTTTTAGTACTTTATAAAGGTCTTTAAGAGATTTACCTTTACACAACATGTCTTTTGATTTCTTGACTGACGTTACCATGAATGTTGACTATGGATCCAAGTAAAATGAAATCCTTGACAACTCTGATCTGTTCTCCATCTATCATGATGTTGCTTTCTGGTCTAGAGATGAAGATTTTTTTTTAGGTTGAAATGTAATCCATATTGAAGGTTATGATCTGATCTGCACTAAATGCTTCAAGTCCTCCTCACTTTTAGCAAGTAGGGTTGTGACAACTGTGTAAATCAAGTTGTGGTGAGTCTTCCTGAAACCCTGATACCACATTTATCTTCATATAGTCCAGCTTCTCAAATTATTTGCTCAGCATATGTACTGAATATGTATGAAGAAAGAATATAACTCTGACATGCATCATTTCTGATTTTAAACTATGCTATGTTCCCTTGTTCTGTTTGGACAACTGATTCCTGGTCTGGGTACAGGTTTTGCACAAGTACAGTTAAGTGTTCTGGGATTCCTATTCTTCTCAATGTTAGCCAAAATTTGTAACAATCCACACGGCCAAATGCCTTTTCATAGTCAATAAAGCACATATAAATGTCTTTCAGCAAAGATCAATCTGCTGTCAGCGTTATCCCTTGTGTCAAAGCCTCTTCTGAGTCCAGCTTGAACTAATCTTGAACAAGAAGTTGCATGTGATATTAATGTTATTTGATAATGTCCACATTCTATTGGAGCACTCCTTTTTTTTTTATGGGAACTAGGGTGTTAGAACCCTTGAAAATTGGCTTTTTCTAGCCATTGTCCCCATTTAGGGGGAAATGATCATGGTCTTGCAAATCAACCACTATGGGACCAAAATAAGAGAGAGCTTTCTACACTGTGAGGCACCCTGGTGATGGTGATGGTGGTGGTGGAGAGAAGGTGAAGAGATTAGTAGCACTGCTGTGAAGAGACGGTGGGAAGATATAATCAGAGGAACACTGGAGATGTAGCCACAGCTAAAGGTTTTGCTTGCTGAACTGAAACCTGTAAAAGCTGACTAGTAACTGCCCTAAGGCAAAGTTTGTTGGATGCTCGAGAAACCCAGAGGCTTCTTACATTTGTGCTGTTGAAATGAAACCTGGGCTTGCACTAATTGAAGACTTGAATCTTGCTGTTAATCTGGCTTGGGACTGGTGGACTAAATTTGGACGTGTACGGGGCTATTCTTTGCCTCTCTCACTCCCCAATCTCCCTCCCTCACAAATCCCACAACTGTAAGTAAAGTCTGAGAGTCAACAATGAACTCTGACCCAATGATTGGTAGAAATAGATGCAAGAGCATAGAGGGTCACATGTCTGACTAAGCAGCTATTTGTTTACTGCTATGGATATATTTTTTAATAAGGACAGGTCCCCTTTATGAAGTGGGTAGATGTCAGACTTGGCCACCCTCATGTTGCATCTGTTCCTTCTGCAGAACAAATATGGATCTCTTCCAGTCAGCTACCTTCCAAATTTCTTTGCATAGACTAGCGAGCATGCCCAAGGCTTCATCTGTTTGTCGAAACACGTCAATTAGTATTCCTTCAACTCCTGATGCCTTATTTCTTTTTCTAATGTCTTCAGGGAAATTGAACATCTTCCTTATCACTGGTTCTTGATCATATGTTGTTGTTGTTAAATGCCATCTAAGTTGAAGGTCACTCATAGTGACCCTATGAACAAAAGACCTGAGCGTGGTTTTATAACTATCATTGTTTCTCAAAGCTCATAGAGTTTCTGGAGCCATGTTGCTTAGGAAATGGATGTCACTCCTGCTTCCAAGCCTGTCTTAATCTGGGAGCGCCACCAAACACTGCCCACAGCAACCCCAAGTTACCTCAGTACAGCAAATTGACAGACCAGTGCTGTGCAACTTAGAAGAATGTTAGTCCCAAACACAATTAACACCAACTAACTTTTAAATACCAAGCCCCTTCACCAGGTCCTGTTGACTCTAAACAAGTGGCTTCCCACCCACAGCTCACTGTTAGTCAAATCTAGCAAATCCAATCAGCCCATACACACACTTGATCATATGCTACCTCTTAAAATGGTTCCATGCCAACCAATTCTTTTTGGCACAGTGATTCTGTGTATTCCTTCCATGTTCCTTGTATCACTAAAGATTTTGCCCATAGAACCCTTCAGTGTTGCACCTTGAGGTTTGAATTGTTGTTCAGTTGCTTTAACTTGAGAAATGCGGAGGGTATTCTTTTCTTTTGATTTTCTAATTTTAGCTCTTTGCACCTTCAATATAAAACTGCTCTTCTGGAGCTGCCTTTTGAAATCTTTATCTTCCTCTATTTTACTGTAGCATTTCTTCCATTTGTTTCAGTCTCTCTACATTTTGGTACAATTTTCAGTCTCTTCTGACAAACATTTTGTCTTTTCTTTGTCCTCTGTCTTGGCTTTCTTCACAGATAATAGCCTTGATGTCATCCCACAACTCACCTGGTCTTTGATCATTAGGGTTCAATGCATCAAAAATCAATTCTTGAGGTGGTTTTTAATTCAGGCACGATAGACTCGAGGTTGTATTTTGGTTCTTGTAGACTTGTTTTAACTGTCTTCAGCTTCTATCAGACTTGCACATGAATAACTGATAGTCTCAGCCACTAGCCCTGTTTTGACTGTTGATACTAGGTTTTCCAGGTGTCTGATAGGTACAGTCCATCTGATTCCTGTGTAGTCCATTAGGTAAAGTAAATGTGGATAGCTACTGTTTATGTTTTTTATATACATACTTGCAATGAATAAATCATTACAAAATTCAATTATTTTATTTCCAGCCTCAATTATGTTACTCAGTCTGTATTTTCCTTTGTTGTCTTCCTCCTTTCTTTATTTTGCATTCCTGTCACCAAATGAATGCATCCTGATTGCATATTTGATCAATTTTGGACTACAAATTTGCTAGAAGTTCTTAATTTCTTCATCTTTGGCACTTGTCAGGGGCCTGGCTAACTTGTAAAGCAAGTTTAGCCCTGTACTGTGAAGCCAGCAAGACTAACTCCATCTTGGCTAGAAAATCTGCTTGGCAATTAACAACTCAAGGAAGTAGGATGTTAATGATTAAGAGTGACCAAAGGTCTCAGACCTTAGGGAATGTTATCTACCGAAACTCTTTGTTTCTTAGAGCACTCAATAAGGCATGCTGGAAAACATCTTTGCATTGTGCTGAGGTCTGTGAGAGGTAATGTTTGACCTGATAGTTAACATCTCTGATGGAAAGAGATAATGCGATTGCTACTGCAGATGGTTTTCTAGAAATATATATATACTTGGTCTAGAGAATAAAGGTTTGCTATTCATCATCAGCATTTAGCCTCTCTGCGTCTTCATTTCATCCTCGTCCCTTCTCTCAGCGGAACTGTTTCGATATATTGGGGCTGGATCCTGATAGGCACTAGTGGTGGGTGTATATTTGAATAACAGTTGCACTAACAGATTTTCTTTGTATGCAAATGGACAGTATTTTACTTCAGGACAGATTGTGAAATGTCCTTTTGATTATGAATACAACATCATTCTTGCTCCATTTGCCATGCCTGGTATCATATGACTGCCAGATTCAAAGTGTCCAATAGCAGTCCATCTTAGCTCACTAAGCCTAGGATGTCAATCTTTATGCATTCCATTTCATTTTTTTACAACTCTCAATATTCCTAGATTAGAAATGCCTAGATACTTCATATATTCCATGTTCCAATTATTAATGGATACCTGAAGCCATTTCTATTCATTTTTTTGTGTCTTCCATTCTGGGAGGCTCTACTTCTAGTATTATCTCTAGTAATATTCCTCTGTTATTCATAGGGTTTTTGAAGATGTTTTATTTCACAAGTGGATGGCCAATCCTGCTTCTTAGGCTGGAAGCTCTGTTTAAACCTCTCCACAATGGATGACCCTGCTGATATTTGAAACACTGGTGGCATAGCTTCCAGCATAAGAGCAACCTGCAAGTCCATCTTGTACTGCAAACTGACAGACAAAGGCTATACACAAAGAGAAACTATAAACAAGCAAGATACACACACACATCCTACAGATGTACTTAAGATTTAAAAAATTAAAAAGGCACTACAGTGAGGAGGAGACAGAGAAAGGTAATGTTGTAGGTGGTACAAGGGGATTGCTATAAATCCTTAAGTCCCTGGATGTGCATGACTGACATACTAGGCTGCTGGGGTCAGGGCTACTCAGAGATATCCTGGAAGATAAGCTTGAGACCTACTTCCTAAAAATTAGCCTGAAAGCCCCAAGGCACACAATTTTACCTGGACACATGAGTTAAAACTACATTGATGAAAACTGTGTGTGTGATTATTTTTTAAAAGAACATTCCCACTGAGATATTGATGTGATTAATGCTATGAAAAGGAGGAAAAGGGAACGCGTACTAATGGCTAAATTCTACTTGATATTTGTGCTGTGTGAGCCGCCCTGGTGGCCTAGTGGTAGGAAATCACACTGCAATCTTGAAGGCATGAGGTTCAAATCCACCAACTGCTCTGCGAAGATGGGCAATTTCCTCCTGGGTGATTAACAGTCTCTGAAAACCCACTGGAGAGACAGCTATGGATTGATTCTGACTAAAGGTACTCAACAACAGCAATAGGTATTTAAGCAATTAGGTATTTAAGCAATAGGTATTTAAGCAATTGCTTTATGTATCTTAACATATGCTAAGTTACTAAAAACATTCAAGAGCCTCTTTTACAGATGTGGAAACTCACACACAAAGCAGTTCAGTAAATGACCCAAAGTCACCTGGCTAGTATGGGGCACAAGTGAGTTTGACTCAGGTTTCGCCTTGGAGCCCAGAAACATAAAGATAGCCCCCAAGGGCTGATATTGACCACAGAAAACTCAAGCTCATAGGGTAAAGTGTGACGTGTTAAAGCATCGATGGTGGATGAATTTGAGAAAGTACGAGATGAGGATGAGGAAGTAATTCACAGGTACAAGACATATGATAAGAAAACCCAGGATGAGGCCACCTGAAGATGGCAAACTGCTCAGGGAAGGGACTTTAGGGATTGGAAATGGCACACATATATTGATAAAGGATAGATAATGGAAAAAAACAAGAGAAAACGAGACTGGAATGGGAACCTGGATCAATATCAACTGCTTCATAGTTGCTGGGAGGATTACTACTACGATTATTTTAATAAATCTTATCCTAGTAGTTTTTATAGACACTGCATATAAAGTATCTCACAGCATTTCAGGAGGGGATTTTCCCAAACCTTCTATTAAAAGGCAGAGATTCCAGTGGACACAAAAAATTGCTTCATATATACCCACAATTAAACCTGTAAGGTCCCCATCCTAGAACTAAAGCTTCTCACAAATACAGCAGATTTTACCATTTTGTTGTTAATAATAAATATATTTGTGAAAATAATAATAATAAAGCAACTGCTTATCCCCAAGTTTGATTTCAAGCTATTCTCAAGAGTATCACAAGATACTACATCAACAACATATTTTAACCAAAAGATTTTTCACTTCAGTAGTCTACTATTATTTCCAACAATCTTACTCACCTTTGAAGATTTCCCTTGTGATTTTCTTCTTCCTGTAAAGAAGAAATAAGTTCAGTTGAATCAGTTTTGTTACCCTGGAGTCTTGTATATGTTAAAATGGTTTGCTTTGCTCTGCTCTCCCATGGAAACACCATCTAGGACCTATGAGTCCTAGGACCAAAGACCTAGACTGTGAGGTGCAGTTTGGGTCAGGAGTGCTAATGTAGCTTGGCCCCTGGAAGTACAATAATGAAACCACACCCACAGCCTGATGAGGGGTTGTAGCTTCAGTAGTCAGGGAGTGTCCAAATGAGAAGAACTGGCTGTAAACTTAGTCATGGAGGAGGAAGCTGGCTTTTCTGTGCCTCTTCAAAGGACCTAGCTGTAGTATATGCCCTCTGAAGACAATTTTTACAAAATGGGTTGGAATGAGGGAAAGTGAAAGGGGGGGCAGTGTTCCTTGGCTAGAACCTTGCTACAGAAGATGTCACGACTCCTTCAGGCTTGAGCACACATGTCCTCCTAGACACAGAAGGGAAGCTGCAGTGATGCTCCCTAAGAGTGAGTGTGGGTTCATGTGCACAAGAACTAGGCAGGATCCATACCTCACATATCAAAACCAACCCCAAATGAATCAAAGGGCTAAAAGTACAAAATAAAACTGTAAATCTCTCAGATGAAGATATAAAGGTACTGCCTAGGTTTTAAACAATAGATTATCTGATGTGACTCCAATAGCATGAGTAGAAAAAGGCCCAATAAATAAAACTTCATTTACTTATAACCTGTCATTGTTTAGTGGTACTTGCTTCTCTCAGATATTGGGGTGTTTCTTTAAAGCAGATCTTGGGGACAGGTATTAATTTTCTGTAATCAGAAGAATGTATTACAGTTTTTAAGAAAAAGTGAAAAATGTACATTGCCTAGAATTATAATTTCCTATTATATTGCTTTAGGGGCTCTGGTGGCTTAGTGGAAAGGAGCTGCACTGTCAACCCAAAGGCACCACAGGAGAAGTACAGACAATCTCCTCCTATGTAATTAGCTGCCTCTGCAGGGTCGCTGTGGTTGATTCTGATTCCATGGTACACAACAAACTACTGCATGTTTTGCTGGACACAATCACTTGTGAGATATGACCTACTATCTAGGACACCACACCAGTTATTTCTAAATCAGAAGGGACAGCTGTCAAAATCAAGATCAAAACAAAAATCATGGAGCATGGAGGAATTCAGGGTAAGGGCATACAAAAATCCCAAAAGTGTTGAGTTCAATTTTACTAAACTGAGAGCTAGGGCCCTTAAAACTAGCAATGGGCACTGCCCAAGTGCCATGTTGCTGTAAGGAGCTGGGGTGGACTAAGCTCTGACCTCAGGGAGGCACCTCCTGAAGCTCAGTCGATGGGGCAGAGGCTCCTCCGGCTCCTCATCCAGTGACAATGCGTCCAGGTAGAGGTTCTCGCTGGCTGAGCACCGGTCTGACTCCTTCAGTTTGGACAGTGGCTGGTCTTCGAAGGCAACAGCTTCCTCTTTGGAGCAGGACCACATACCCAGGCTGTGAGGCACACGGAGGCCTGCGTGATGTGGAGAGGGCTGGGCACTGCCTTCTTTTTGGTCACGCCGGAAGCTGCCAACTCTTTGGGGACTATTTTCTGTCTGTAACTTGAGAACGGCAAAGCAAAAGTAATGAGACTCAAATTTTTCTGTTGTATTCTTGAAGGCCATATTCTCCCCTACAGTTTGGAATTTATAGGATCAATGTGAAGATTTTGTGAGAAGCAAATGTTTTTCTTGACCTTAATTTCTAAACACAACACAGTAATATATCATGCCATGCACCCACTACTGAATCAGTTATGACTAATGGTGACCTCCTGTGCTACGTACGGTAGAACTGTGATTTCCACAGAAGGAGGTTGCCAGGTCTTCCTTCAGTAGTACTACTGAGCAGGTATGAGTTGTCAACTTTAGGTTATTTGCTGTTACAAATGCTTTAAAAATAAACACACATATACCACCAAATCCCATAATCTTACGTGCTTAGAAAATTTACCTGAAAATGAAAAACAGTATTAAATCACACACAAGTAGACATAGGTGTACATATGTTCATTCATCAATCAATTCTGATTTCCTTGGGATATAGTCCTAATAGCTGAATACCTGGGTCATATGGGACTGTGAAAACTGGAGGATAATGAGGCAGGTATGTATAAAAATTCAAAAGTAAAAGCGGGAGAGATGGAAGGCAATGAAAGGGGAAAGAGGAGGAGACACTAAGATAGTAGAAGTTAGTGGCAGGGGTGGGGTGGGTGAAGAAATAACAAAAATTCCATCAGGACTCCAAGAGACAGGTGGATAATAGGCATAGATCAATAGTAATTAATTATATATAATATAATGTATATGAATTGCATGCAAACCGATAATTTTAAAAAAACCCAAAAAAGTAGATTCAGTTCATCTTGATTAGAATATGTGCATTATCAACAGACCATGCCACTGCACTAGACTGCATTGCTGTGTGAAGACCAAACTTCCCTGCTGCCACATGACTGTCCTGTGCCAGGAGCACCAATATTACAGACGAATCAAAAAACAAAACTGATCAATATGCTGCCTACAACAGACACACCTGAAAAGTAAAGAAAAAGGAACATTAAAAAGAAAAGGGTGGAGGAAAAAATATACCAAATAGCAACCAGAAAAAAAAATAGGAGTAGTGATATTGTTATGTGCCGTTGAGTCACCTGTGACTCATAGTGAACCTATGTACATCAGCTCTGAAACCTGCCCTGTCCTGAGTCAGTCTCACTGACTCTGATACACATATATCCAACCCCTCCACCCAGATACTGCAGCAACCCATTTCATCTGGGGGCTTCTCCTGCACTGTCCCTCCATCCCTCTAAGCATGATGTCTTCTCCAAGGACCAATCCCTACTGACCACGTGCCCAAATTAGGTAAGGCAAAGTTTCAAAATCCTACTCTCCAAGGGGAAACTTGGTTTTATCCTTTCCAAGAGAGACTTATTTATTTTCTTGGCATAAAGATTTTTGTTCTGCATATAAACTAAAAGGTATGGAGACAGGATGTATCCCTGACACACTCCTTTTCTGATTTTGAACTATGCCGTGTTTCCCTGCTCTGTTCTGAGGACTGTTTCCTGGTCTTAGTATAGGTTTCATATGAGCACAATCAAGTGTCCTGGGATTCCAATTCTCCTCAATTGTACCCACAATTTGTTGTGATCCACCCAGCCTTTGATTAGTCAACAGAACACAGATAGGCATTCTTCTGGTATGGTCTGCTTTCTGCCAAGATCCATCTGACACTGGCAATAATATCTCTAGTGCCATGGCCTCTTCTAAACCTAGTTAGTATTCCTGGTAGTTCTCTGTCAATGTACTGTTTCAGTCGTTTTTGGACAATCATCAGCAGGATTTTGCTTGCATGTGATACTAATGATACTGTTCAATAATTTCCACACTCTATCAGGTCACCTTTTTTTTTTTTTTAATTGGGAAGAGATACAGATCTCTTCCATCAGTTGGACATGGTTGTCCTCTGGATTTCTTAGCATAACCTAGTGAGTACATCCAGTGTAGCATTTGTTTGCTGAAATATGTCAACTGGTATTCCATCAATTCCTGGGGACTTATTTTTTGTCTAGTCCAGTGGCCTGCACCTCCTCCTTCATCACCATTGCCTCTTGTTCATATGATGGTTCATGAAATTCTTCTGTGTTAATTCTTTTTGGTACAGTGACTCTTTATACTCCTTCCATCTTCTTTTAATACTTCTTGGATCATTCAGTATTCTACCCATAGCATTCTTAAGTATTACAACTCAAGGCTTGTATTTATTCTTTAGTTCCCTTAGCTTAAAAAATGCTGAGCAAGTTCGGCCCTTTTGATTTTCCAACTCTAGCTCCTTGCACATTTCATTATATTATTTTGCTTTGTCTTCCCAAGCTGCCCTTTGAAATCTTCTATTCAGGTCCTTAACTTCTTGATTTCTTCCCTTTGCTTTGGATTCTAGGTTCAATTTTCAGAGTCCCTTCTGATATCCATTCTGGCCTTTTCTTCTTCCTTCATCTTTGTTATGACCTTTTACATTCTTCATGGATGAAATTCTTGATATCCTCCCACAGCTCATTTGGTGTTCAAGGCCTCAAACCTGTTCCTGAGTTGGTTTTTAAATTCAGGTGGGATAGACTCAAGATGAAATTTTTATTCCTGTGGATTTGATCTAACTTTCTTTAATTTGAACTGGGATATGAGTAGTTGATTGCCTGTTCCTCAATCAGCACCTAGCCTAGTTTTCACTGCTGCTATTGAACTTCTCCAATTATTCCTTCCATAGATATAATCGATCTGATTCCTGTGCACACCATCAGGTGAAATCCATGTGTATAACCTACTTTTATGTTTCTTATAAAAGGTATTTGCCATGAATAAATAATTGATTACGCAGAATTCCATCATTCTATTCCCAGCCTCATTTTTGTCACCAAGTCCATGTTTTCCCAACTACTTATCCTTCTTCCTGGTTCCCAATGTTTGCATTTCAGTCACCCATTATTATTAACGCATCGTGGTTGCATGTTTGATCGATTTCTAACTGGAAATTTTGGTAGAAATCATCTATTTCCTCATCATTGCTTCTAGTTGTTGGGGGATAAATTTGAATGATAGTGGTATTAACAGGTCTTTCTTGTATGTGTATGGATATTATCCTGTCACTCACAACACTGTATTTCATGATGAGTGTAGAAACAACTTTTTTAACTATGAAAGTGACCTTATTTCCCCCCTTCACTTTTTCATATCATCTGATCTCTGATAAAATAGATTTCAGCATAAAAACCATAACAAAGGACAAGGAAGGTCACTATATAATGCTTACAACAGAACAAGAGATGACATAACCATAAAAAAAATCTATGCACCAAATGATAGAGCTGAAAAATATACAAAGCAAACATTAACAGAACTGAAAAAAGGGAATAGATGAGGTTCTCTGACATGAACCGCCTAAGAGTCGTGCTGTAAGAAGCAACAACCTCCCTCTCCTTCTCCACCTTCTCCTTGGAACTGGGAAACAGCAACCATGCATGAGTGCATCTCCATCCACGTTGGCCAGGCTGGTGTCCAGATTGGCAATGCCTGCTGGGAGCTCTACTGTTTGGAGCACAGCATCTAGCCTGATGGTCAGATGCCAAGTGACAAGACCAGAGGAGATGACTCCTTCAACACCTTCTTCAGTGAGACTGGTGCTAGCAAGCATGTACCCAGGGCAGTGTTTGTAGACCTGGAAACCACAGTCATTGAAGAAGTTCGCACTGGCATCTACCGCCAGCTCTTCAACCCTGAGCAGCTCATCACAGGCAAGGAGGATGCTGCCAACAACTATGCCCGTGGGTACTACACCATCAGCAAGGAGATCATTGACTTGGTTCTGGACCGAATTAGAAAATTGGCTGACCAGTGCACAGGTCTTCAGGGCTTCTTGGTTTTCCATAGCTTTGGTGGGGGACCTGGCTCTGGCTTCACATCCCCGCTGATGGAGCACCTATCTGTTGATTATGGCAAGAAGTCCAAACTGGAGTTCTCCGTTTACCCAGCCCCTCAGCTTTCCACAACTGTGGTCGCTTACAACTCCATTCTCACCACCCACACCACCCTGGAGCACTAAGATTGTGCCTTCATGGTAGACAATGAGGCCATCTATGACACCTGCCGCAGAAACCTTGATATTAAACACCCAACCTACAATAACCTGAACAGGTTAATAGGTCAAATTGTGTCCTCCATCACTGCTTCCCTCAGATTTCATGGTGCCCTCAATGTCGATCTGACAGAATTCCAGACCAACCTGGTGCCCTATCCCTGCATCCACTTCCCTCTGGCCACATACGCCCCTGTTATCTCTGCTGAGAAAGCTTACCATGAACAGCTTTACGCTGCAGAGATTACCAATGCTTGCTTTGAGCCAGTCAACCAGATGGTGAAATGTGACCCTCGCCACGGTAAATACATGGCTTGCTGCCTGTTGTACTGTGATGATGTGGTTCCCAAAGATGTCAATGCTGCCACTGCCACCATCAAGACCAAATGTACCATCCAGTTTGTGGACTGGTGCCCCACTGGCTTCAAGGTTGGTATTAATTACAAACCTCCCACTGTGGTGCCTGGTGGAGACCTGGCCAAGGTACAGCGAGCTGTGTGCATGCTGAGCAACACCACAGCCATTGCTGAGGTCTGGGCTCACCTGGACCACAAGCTTGATCTGATGTATGCCAAGCATACCTTTGTTCACTGGTACGTGGCTGAAGGGATGGAGGAAGAGGAGTGTTCTGAGGCCCATGAGGACATGGCTGCCCTTGAGAAGGATTATGAGGTGGTGGGTGTGGATTCTGTTGAAGGAGAGGGCAGGGACGAAGGAGAAGAATACTAAAGTTTAAAATGTCACAAAGGTGCTGCTTTTACAAGGAAGCTTATTCTGTTTTAAACACTGAAAAGTTGTAGTCGGATCAGTTAATTTGTATGCAGCAGTGTATACGTTCATATACAACTGCTGACTTTTGCTTTAAAACATGAATGCTTTGTCACAGATGCAGGTTGTCCATTTCTCTGATGGGTTTTGAATAAAGTATTCC